ATGAGAGGATCAGGCAAAAAAAAAAAAGACCCCTCAATTCTTCCCCAACTAGTGCAAACCTTGGTGCTTCTCTCCCTGCATTCCCATGTACTCAAGGCCATTCCCAAAGCATGGATGCTTACTTACTTTCCCTGGGGTCACAAACTAGGAGGCCTGTGGAGTAAATGGGAATCTGCTCCAGCTTACAGGCTATGAAGGTCTTTTCAGTCAAGGGTGGCACTCAGTGCAGAAAAAAGGGAAGCCCTTGTAGTAAAAACAGCCCAGAAGTGGACAACTGACCCTTCTATAAGGACCTCCAGCTAGTTTACTTATCTTCTTATTTACTTTAATCTGATCAATGCTGGCCTCAGGCTAGGTGCTTTGAGCACATAGTAGCTTACTTGGCTACTGAGGCAATTCCCTCTGCTAGTGGTGGGAAACAGTACCACAATGCATCCACCTGAACAATGAGAATATTTTAACTGAAATCCAATGACTGTTTCAGATGAATAAATTCCAATGTAGAAGCAAAACTAATATAAAAATTTAAAAAGCAGTATATTTTTCCCACAGTCAAGTTTCATAATAAAAAAACTTGAAAGTGAAATGGATAAAATTGAAAACAGTACACTCAAGTGAACATTGATCAGAATGATCAACAAACTTGAAGACATAGATAAGCACCTAAATAAATTCAAAGAAGGTACAATTAAGCAGCTGAATAAAATAAGAAGCACAATAAATGACATAAAAATAAATTAAATAAAGGTATAGAAATCCTGAGAGAAAAGTGGATTGAAATCCCGAAGATGAAAATTCAATATCCAAATAAAAACAAATCAGTTGAAAACCTTGTTATTATAATGAAATAATTTGAAAATAGAGTATCATGGATGGATGATAAACTAAGGGAGTTAAAGCAATCAGACAGAAAAACCACTACAAACTAAAAATAAAATATGGAAGACACCATCAAAATGTGAGACATGATAAAAAGATAAAACCTAAAAGCCATTAAGTATAGAAAAGGTACAATCTAAAAGTGTAAACAATAAATTAAGACAGAATTGAAGTAAAGATGTTCTCAAGTGGTAGACTAGTAGCCATGAACAAAAAGCTAAGCAAAAGCATAAGGCCCTGAGTTTTGAGTACTGGCACAAAAATAACATTATAGCTGGGTGCTAGTGTATCTTGGTTTGAAACCGGACCAAAAAAGGTCTGTGAAGCTCTTATTTCCAGTTATCCAGCAAAAAAGGCCAGGAATAGAGATGTGGCTCAATTAGTAGAGTGCCAGCCTTGAGTGAAAAATCCAAGCAAGAGCATAAAGCCCTGACTTCAAGCCCTAGTATCCAGTACTTGTGTGGATTGCGGGGAGAGGGGAGAAATGTGTGTGCATGTATGCATGCATGCATATAGATAAATAACTTCCCCAATCCTGGGAAGAAGTGTCATCCAGATACAGAATGCTTTCAGTTTACCAAACAGGCAAGTTCGGCAAAAGCAATACAAAACAGAGAAATAATATTAAAAACAAAAAGAAAAACACAATAAGTTTTATACAAAGGCAAACTGACAACAGATTTTTTGATAGACATTCTAACAGCAAGGAGGGTATGGAATGAAGTATCCTAAAACAAGAAAATAACTATTATCCTGCATTAATGGATCCAGCAAAACTAGCCTTCATAGTTGGAGAAATAAGAACTTTCCATACTTAAAATGTAATTAATAAATAATGACCACCAAATCAGCATTGCAAAATATATTTAAATGAATTCTACATACACAGAAATAGATAAAGGAATCAATTTCATTTGACAAGTAGACTAGCAAACAAAGATAAGAAAGAAGCAAACACCACAAAATAACAAAATGACAGAAAATCTATATACCTTCCAATGTCAACAACTGACCATTCAGGGGGGTAATTCTCCAATCAAAACACACAGAATGGTAGACTGGATTTAAAAAAGCAACACTGCTGTTGGAATGACTTTCAAGTGGCAAAGTACCTACTTGTCTAGCAAACATAAAATCTGGAGTTCAAACACTACTACAAAAACCCTGTGTTCAAACACCAGTACACAATAAATACATGATATATGGATGATAGATAGATAGATGTATAAATAAATAAAACAACTGAACAATTCTTGCTCAGCAAGAAATGAATCTCACCAATGAAGACAAACGTTGGTTTAGAATGAGAAGATAAAAGTAGATTTTTTTAATGCAAAGAAACACTGAAACAATGCAGAAGTAGCCATATCTATATCTGATAAAAACTATATACTTAAGATGAAAATTGTCAGAAGAGATCAAGGTTAACTCAGATTAATAATGAGAACAGTCCATCAAGAAGGGAGAAGAATTTAACAATTGTATGTGTGTGTGTGTATATATATATATATATATATATATATATATAATGTGTATGTGTATATATATATATATATATATATATATATATATTTAAGCTTGTGTTCATGGACCAGCACACCTGAAGCTCTAGAACTTAAGAAGTTGAGGCAAGAGGTACCCTGGAGCTGATGGCTCACACCTATAATCCTAGTTACTCAGGAGGCTGAGCTCTGAGGATCATGGTTTAAACTCAGCCTGGGCAGGAAAGTCTGTGAGATTATTTCCAATAAACTACTAAAAAAAGCCAGAAGTGGCTCTATGGCTTAAGTAGTAGAGTGCTAGCCTTGAGCCAAAAAAGCTCATGGACAGCATCCACAGGCCCTGGATTCAAGAAACTCAGTATTAGAATATATCTCAGGTCTTGGACTAATATATAGAGGACCTTATATATGGAACGAAGCATTGCTTTAAAAAAATAAAAAACAACCTATAAACAATTTATGTGCCCAGCTATATATGTAATGTTTATATATATATATATTATATAATGTTTATATATAATGTTTATTATACTAATTTAGGTCATATTTAAGTTGCTGGGACAAAACAAAAAGAAACTATATAGTAAAATTATAAATGTGAGTATTACTCCTTCTATCAATATTCATGTTACTTAATTTTGTTCTGCTTTTAAAGACTTTGTTATACTCAACGTGAATTTCATGAAGTAACCAATGAATGCTATGAATGTCTCTAAAATTATAAAAATCATTTTGAACAATAATAATACATTCCATTTTAGTTATTTGTCCTTTATTTAGAAAGTTCAGCAAAATAACAAAGTATCAGTTTAGAAATAGTTTAATCTCACTATAATTTAACATTCAAAAAATCTACTAAGTAATGATTTTTAACAACAATTTATAAAAAATAATTTTACATTTATAAAATTTATTTCACAATAAATTATTCATTTCCATTAAACCTGAAAAAATGTATTATATAAAAGCAAAAACTCTCCTTAACAATGCTTTGAAAATATCACTTTCTCTTAGTCCAGTATTTTTTTTTTGGCAGTTCAGTGTATAAAAATATTATACTACAAATTCCCTGACTATAGTTACTGAAACAAAAATTATTAGTAAAAATTTCCAAAATATAGCTGTTTAATAGATTCTTGTGGATAAATTATTCCCCCAAAATAAACTGTATGTTTTACATTTTAAAGGTATGGTCTGAATGTCTGTGCCTTCACCTTTCGCATTCATATGTTGACAGCTAGCCACCAATGTGAAGGAAGTTGGAGGGGAGGCTGGGAGCTGACTAGTCCTGGGGTGTAGCCCTAACGAATGAGGTTAATGCCCTTACAAAACTGCTTTGCCCCTTCCATGTGAGAGCAAATTGCTGGAAGATTCCTCTATGAACCAGAGACAAATTAGCCAATGCCTTGAGCTTGGGCTATCCAGTGTGGAGAACTATGAGAAATACATTTCTGTTGTTTATAAGCTGTCCAGTTGATGGTATTTTGTTATAGAATCCTGCATGGATTGGGGGTTTTTTTTTTTTGTTTTTATATCTCTATGTGAATAACCTAGAAAAAAGTGCACAAAAGCCTACAGAGGATATTTTTTATTTATAAAATAAAAAGCCCACTGATTTCATGAAAGAGATACTAGGGTAATTATTTTTAATTAAATCACCCTAGTCCATTTGTTTCTCTCTCTTCTTTCTCCCTCCCTTACTCAGTGATACACTTTCATTTTCACAAGGATAGCAGATATATAATTGATGCTATGCTATTAAACCACTGATAGCTTGGATCTCTCTCTCACTTTTAAGGGCTTCATTTCATTTTAGGAGCCAATATGATAGTTAAATTAACATAATCTTTTTACTTGTGGGGAAGGTGAGAGTCACAAATGAATTATAATCTTAGAAATTTTGTATGGTCCTAAAAGCATTTAATTCAATATCTCACATCTTGAGATACCTTTTCTTCTTTTTATATATCTTTCCCCTTAGAAAGCAGAGGTGGGAGTCAGGGGGCTGAGCCTAGGAAAGAAAAGGCTTTGAGACTCTTACCTACAATAAACCACTCAAAAAACTGGAATTGGTGCTGTGGCTCAATTGGTAGAGTGCTAACTTTGAGCTGAAGAGCTGAGGGACAGCACCCGGGCCCAGAGTTCAAGCCCCACGACCGACAAAAAAAAAATCAGAAAGCAGAGGTGGGGCAGTGGGGGTGGGGGAAGGGACACTATTTCATGAGGCGAGTCATAATTAACCCTTTAAAATTGTATGACTGATATCAAGTAATTAGCAGCTACAATGAGTTGAACACCTGGGTCTACAATTAGACATTCAAAATACATTCTAATGTTCATGAAATTTTGAAAAGTTAAGTGGGTAACTTGAATGTGATTTTCTTTCTCTTCAAAACACATACAGTGTATTCTATTTAATATTTTTAGCAAGAGGACTTTGAAATGTACAAAAGTGGTTTCTTATTCACACAATGTTGTTTCTTACATTTATCACTTATCTGTGACAACTCATTTGATGGACAGTATTTAATCATTACTCAATTGCATATGTTTCAAAAACATACTTCTTAGAAGTTCACAGTTTTTCCCCCCCCAAAGGTATCATCTTGTTTATGTCAATCACAGCTCAGTTTGCATGTGGCTTTCTAACTCCACAGGCTTCTGCACTGTATATTCCTTAAACCCTCAAGCCAATTCCTAACATAGGAAAGAAAGACAGTAATACTTCACTTAGAGAGTGGTGCAGACTCAACAATTTGTGTGATGACATTTTCCCACCAACCGGGTTCTCCTGGCACAGGGCTCACATCGAAACATACTGTCCTGAATCCCTGGGGAGCTAGACATGAGAATGGGCTAATTTCTTGTTGACATTGACTTTCAATGATCATTTCAAGAGAGAGAAACAAATGTCTCTCTGTTCAGCCACTGCTTCAGGGTTTTTTTTTTAAATCACATTTTACCCTGCATTTAAGGTTTAATTACATTTTACTCTAATTGATAAGACCATTTGTGATTTATTGCAGCCACATCTTCAAAAATGGATTCCAAAAAGACCTTGGTATTCTTAGAATGGCTTTTTGTAATTTCCTGAATTTATGAGAGTCATATTTAACTGTGGACCAAAGGGATACTTCTTAGCCACAGAACACCCTCAAAGGGATTCATCTTCACAGATGTACACTCTATTCTACAACCACGGCTTTCTTTTCCTAATCTTTAAGTTTATAATTTACTACAAGAACAAAAACAACAAGAAAGAAAAAAAGAAAGAAAAACAAACATTTCACATTAACCTAGCAACTCTGATTTACTGTTCTCAGCCAAACAGGAACATTTAGCTCTACATCACATCACAATAAAGTAATTATTTACAGATTTAAATTAATATTAGGGAAACAAATGAAAGTAGTACATAGCATTCAACTGGCCCAGGTCCAGGCCCAGGGCAGAGGCAGCTGGAAACAAGACACTCTATAAACAATTCCAAACTCAAACATATATTGGTTGCAGGTGATAATCTTATACCTTACCAAACAAACAAAACAAATATACAAACAAGAAAATAGGAGACCAACTTATCACAGCACCATGAAGAAGAAGCATTGTCTGAGGTTGCCAAAAGTACTATCCTGAGATATTTCAAAACCACCAACTTTTCACATTTCCACAGTGCCATTCAGGAGTAACTATGTTCTCATAATGGCTTTTGTTTGGAGAGGGACTGGTGTGAAATGACGGAAGCTTGGTTGGCAGTGATTTTATATGGTTCTTGTCCAGAGCCTTGTGGTGGGGAAGGGAGTGGGGTTTCAGGAGTAGCTGAAAGAGAATTAGAGAATTGTATGTGATAGCAGCTGATAACTCTACCTAGTGCCAACATAAACTCTTATACTGTGTTAATGTTCAAAATATCCCCTGTGAGGAATTGATTGTATGGTGTATTATCAGTGCATTGATATACTAATGGAAAAACTCTGTCACCCCTCCTTCCAGATATCATTAAACACCTATAGATCATGCTAGAAAATCTTTACTAACACTGACAAATTTTTCACCTTTCTTAGTAGCATTTGTTTGAATTTCAGTCTCCTACAAACCAGTAGAGAGGAATTAGTGAAAAAATGAACAATGTTAGTTTTAATGAATATTAGAAAACAATTTTCACAGCAGTTGTAATCAAAGTGCACATAAAATTACAATACTTGGTTTGAAATCCTCTAACTTAGACATATTAGATGACAGAAAAATTAAAGTAATGATACTTTATGAATGTTTTGAAACCTGAGTGGTAGTCAGGAGCCCTCTAATGTACTGGTTTAGTTGCTACACAATTATTCTATTACAATTGAGCTGGCCTGTGCCTACCTCTGTAACGGAAAGGGCAAGCCTGAGTAATTGAGTAGAAATAATTGAATATAAAAAATTGGATTCAGTATAAAAAAAGATAGTTTAAATAATACCTCATTATATGGGAAAGTATTTTGTTCTACTATGAAATTTTACTATATTACAAAATAATCTAGGAGCTATCCTTTAATTTTAAAACATTTGAAATGGCTAGATGTGGGTGGCTCATACTTATAATCCTAGCTATTCAGAAATCTGTGATGGTGGCTCAAAGCCAGTCCAGGCAGGAAAGTCTATGAAGACTCTTATCTCCATTAATCACCAAAATGCTAGAAATAGCAATGTAGCTCAAGTGGAAGAGTATTAGGTGAAAAAGCTAATAGACAGCACCTAGGCCCTGAGTTCAATCGCCAATGCTAGCATATGCACACACATACAAACACACATCCCACTTGAAATATTTTAGTATTCATATTTATGATTTCATATATTTTACAGAAATAATAGAAAACATTTGAATAGATGATAACACTACAAAGTCCACTGATTTTTTTTTCATTTTAAAACCTCTATATAAAAACAAAGGCATCTATTTTTGTCAAGTATGTTACTAAATTAATTAAATATAGGTTAGTAATTACTTGTAAATAACAATTTAAATGCTGTTCAATTGATGAAGGAATATCTAAATGTGCTTTTCAAGTTATTGTGGATATTTAGAATGAATTTTAAATTCTAGTGGCCTTCAAGATGCAAATATGTATGAACTTCAGTTTTTTGGAATAAAGATTATATATATATATACATATATATATATAGACACATAGAATGAACTTGTTTAACATTTATATAAATTATTCCAACTGAACATAAGCAAAGGAAAGTTTTGCTTTATAGTAATTCTCACAAGTATATTGAAAGGCAAAAAAGATAGTAAGGTGATATAATTCCTACAATAGCCAATATTTTTTGTTTGCTAGCATTTAAGAGGTAAAGGATTCCACTGGCATTAGTACCATTAAACTTTCTCAAGAGTTGATGCCTACAATGCTTAACATGTTTTACATTCCAAGTTTATGAATAGCAGGTCTCTAAAAACGTAATCCCACAAACTTTGACATAGGATTTTAAGCTCTCCTACCTTTCCTCTTAACAATTTCATTAAATAAGCATTAATATAATTTAGTAAGGATAGTCAAAAATTAATGTCTTTCAAGTACATTAGAAAGATTCATAGATTAAATATACTATATCATTTCCAAAATTTGTGTATTTTCTCCAGTGATTTAATTTCTCTCTCATATACTCAATGAATTTTGTGTTTCAGATATGATTTTCCTAAAAGTCTACTAGTACTTATATCTGAAAATGGCATTATTAATGTACTTTCCTCCCACTAGCTAGTAGTCAGATGGTATTTGAATCGGTTGTTCTATTACATGAAGTGTTTAGGAACAATCACACTATAACAAGTGTATATAAAATTAGTAGCCATACATGTATGCATAATAATAATAATATCATAGTAAGTCAAACCTCTCAGTGAGCTAGCTGGTATGGTATTCAGAAATAAGAGATCAAAGGTAAATTTGGAATTAATTAGCACAAATCAAAAGCAATTTGCAGTGGATTGAACATGATTTATGTGTTGAAAGCTTGGGCCCCAGCTGGCGGGGGATCTTTAGAAGATGAGGCCTCAGGGTAATATTGGAATTACTCTACAGGTTTATAATCTATGTGTTTATAGTCGATGTTAATGTTTTCATATTTTGAAGGCCACATGTAATCATAATTTTCTGATGTATGAGTAGAATTCCGTATAGTTTCATCTTGTACGGTCATTTTTAAGGTCTCATGTCACCATACAAACCTGGAACTATCTCAATGCCTAGTTTTTGTACTTTCCTCATCTGTGGCATAGAAAGATTGGAATTCTAGCATATTCGTCTTAGACAGCAGACTCATGCCTAGGGAAAATAGCATGTAGCTGAATATTGTACTGCTGCTGGCAGGTGAGTCCTAGAAAAGAAATTCAACTCAAGTTTTATAATTTTTGTGTACTAATATTCCTATTCTAAGCTCTATTTTTTTCCTCAGATACTTAAGTTCAAGGAATCTTATTGTGGGAAAATACAGCTGACACTTACAGATCTGGTCTGTATGGACTAGAGTTGACATAGGGCCTAAAAGTATAGTTTGTCCCGTTAGTGGATCTTGAGACAAATGTGGGTGCATTGGATGATGGATATGGCTGCCATCATTGGAAGCACCTATAGAAGACAAAAAGATGCTTACATTAGTGACATGTACCAGGACCAATGATTTTACTGGACATGGCAGAGATATTTCCATGGACAGCTAAAACATTGCTATTTTTGCAAAGTATTTTTTGAGAATTCAAAAATAAAATGATAGAACCTCTGCCATATCAAAGACAAAGTCAGCTTTTACTGCATATTGGCTAGATTAATCTTGTATCACAATGTTGTATTTTAATAGTAGACCTCATATACCATTTCCTGGAATCATTAGGTTGCTGCCTGCTGTTAAGTCAATTCCAAGAATTACTTACTTCTGGTTTATAGTATTTGGAATCATCCTAATAGCAAGAACAATTTCTATTTCAGAAAGCTACCACTAGGAACACATCAGACAGCAGAAAATGAAAAATAAATACAGTGACTTACAAGGAAATTTAATATAAATCAGAACACAAATAAATGATGTCTTAACTTATTCCTGACATTTACTGTCACATTTTCCTCTTCGACAACTAATATTTTTCACAAGCAAAATGTTCAATTTTAAGTCATTGAATTTATATAGGCTATACTGAACTTCCTGTACTCCTGTAGTTTTAAAGGTATAAGGTCATAAAAAAAATCAAGAAGCCCTAAAATTAAGGAATACATTTCTAATTACCATAGATGTAAAGATCTGAAAATTAACATATAAAGGACTGCAGGATGGAAAGATGTTAAAGATGGTTTTGAATGGGGATTTGAATCTGTTTAAGTAGTTTTCTCTCCCTCTTATGGATTTTTCAGATTGTCTAGATGTTCACAAAGTTGAATGCATTATCTCATCATACCAGAAACAAATTCACAATACAAGGTAACCTCAAAGAGGAAATAAATCCGGACAAAAGCAAATAAATGGGAATAACTTGCTCTGATGGACTTCTGAATGATGCTGATCAATACAGGAGAAATGGTTAAATGTACTCACCACCTAGTAACATTTCCTGAAGCAGGTTGTCAATTTTAACCATGCCAAAAAGTTTCACAAACTGTATTTGCTCAATCATTTGCCAGGTGATACTCTGCAGCGTGGGCAAGAGAAGCAGCAGCTCTCCAAACCTCCCCCGAGAGTCATACTGGCGGTCGTTGATGTAGTCCTCCAGACTGATCTGTACTTGGAACCGCATGTTCTTAATTTTTACAGGGTCACTTAAGCCTTTCGCATCTAATAGAGGGATAAAATAAGTAGTCTAAAGATTTACTCAAACTTGGATGTGGGTATGTAATCTTATATGGGGGAAAAAAGTAGTTTAATACACATACTATCAATATTTCTGTCAACAAACCTGGGTCAAAAAATACAATTGCCTTCAAACAAGCATATTCATTGTCATCAATCTGGATTTCTTGAAAGGGACGAACTAGCTCATCCAGAACTCGATTGGCCACACGGCTGATCTCAACCTCACAGCTGTTACGGTGAATGACGTAGTTGTTCCCTAGAAGAAGTAGAAAAATTAACTTCCTTTTCTGCCACATTGTCAGACATTCTTTTCAGGTTGTTAAGTGGCTTATTCTTGAAGTGGATGGTGTTAGTACTCCATCTTTCCCTAGTGTTAAGTTAGTGATGTAAGAAGAACTTAAGTATACTTAAAGGATCGATAATAATGACAATGTGATCACACAATTTTTTTTTGGCTCAGGTCACTGGTGATAACAAATGTAAAGACCAATAACAAGCTAATAATTGACCAGGGAGACAATAACTGTAAAGATTAGCTTTCCTCTTTGTCAGTCATCTATTAGTGTCTTAGTCATTAACAAGCATAACCACAAATCCTAAGGAATCTTCTGTGCTTACAGTGGATTAAACATAGACATCCTGGGGTGCGCTAAGAAGGAATAAGAGCTAGAGACATAGCTTTAACAAGCCACGTAAAGCTGAAAATTGAGCACACATATGCTCAGGCACTGCCCCACTTGTAGCCCTCTTCAGTCAAGGTGAGGTGGCTTCACCACTTTATGGGACTGAACTCAAGGCAGTTGAGAATTTGGCTAGAGATCGAGACCATCTAATGCCTCAAGAATTTTCTAACTTAAACATGCTCCGAACATGATAGAGAAAATAATTATTATAGCTTCTAAAAGCTAAATGGCTATTTTTGTGGGTTTTATAAAAAGTACAATATTCTGAATTCCTCCATTTCTTATGAAGGCAATTATTATAGTTTGGATCTTGGACATTCTTCAAAGGCATATGTGTCAAAATTTTGGGCTCCAGCTCATGACACTATCAGGCAGTGGTAGATATTTTCCCTAGTGAGAAGTTGTGTCATTGGTAGTGTGTCAAAAATGAGGGGTTGTTGGGACCCTAGCCCTCTTCTCTTTCCTGGCCACAAAGAGATTAACAGATTTCCTCTGCCCACACTCTTACCATGACACACTGTGCTGTCCCAGACCCAGAGCAGCAGCGCCCACAGAAAATGAACTGATAAGTCTGAATTCATGAGCCAAAATTAGTCTTTCAACCTTTTAAGTTGATTATCTCAGTGATTTTGTCATAGTCATGGAAACATAACACAAGAATTTTCAAGGTAATGAAATGTACAAAAAAATACTTGTTCATTCTCTGCTTCAGCTCTCTATGTACAATGAATTATTATATGTACTTAAAGTATAAAATGTGCTGTTTTAGTGTACATATTTGCTAGTAAATGATTACCACATATACCCTAATAGAGTCATCAGTTCATACTTACCTCATTTTCATACTAGTTTGAACCACACTCTTGCTTGTAAAAAGTTAGCTTACCTCCCTTTGTTTTCTAAGGTTTAATATATTCTGATTGATAGTTAGAATAGTATTTGAGGTATTTACTAGAAATGCAAGATTAGTATTTAATATAAATTCACTTTATAGGTTTAGAATCTTAAATCTGTCTCATTTGTCCCAACATTAGCACTTTTAGAACATAGAACTTTTACTTCCATTGTTTCTTGGCTGAAAAAAAATTACTGAACAGGACAGTAACTCTTTCAATGACTAGCAAAACTGTGGAAAAAAAAATAAGACTTTAACATTCAAACTTCATGAATTAAGCTGGGTGCCAGTGGCTCACGCCTGTAATCCCAGCTACTCAGGAGGCTGACATCTGAAGATCATGGTTCAAAGCCAGCCCCGGCAGGAAAGTCCATGAGACTCTTATTTCCAATAAACTACCAGAAAACCAAAAGTGGTGCTGTGGCTCAAGTGGTAGAGCACTAACCTTGAGCTGAAGAGCTGAGAGACAGTGCCCAGGCCCAGAGTTCAAACCCCATGACAAAAAAAAAAAAAAAGGAAATCATGAATTATGTAAGTGGGTGGAACTGGAACAATTATATAAATTAAAACTTTGTCCTTGCACCTTTCCTTCTCTCCACCTACCTTTCCACTGTTGCTTCTTCCAGCACTTCTACCAGTTAATTAGACCTTGGCACCAAATATTTCCCTGACCATTACGATGCATAAGGAAAGCAAAATGAATAAGTATGTGCCTTAAAAAATGTTAAGTTTTTAATCAGATTGGTAATGAAGGAAAATACATGGAGATTCCACGGGTGATCACATAAATCATTAATTCTTTGTCCTGGTAAAGATGTAAACATTTTAACATATATCAGTATTATTTTACTAGGCAACATCATTTCACTCAATTTTTTTTTATCTTAATGCTTCCCAGTCATCTTAGGGTTCTCTGATATTATGTACTACAGAGGCAAAGACAACTATGAAGTAAGTGAGGTCAGTTACTTAAACTTAATTTGCAAAGAAAGAGCACCATTGTGTGCATGCGTGCATGTGTGTGTGTGTGTGTGTGCACATGTGTGCGCACACGTGTGTTCCAGTCTTAGGATTTGAACTTAGAGCCTGGGAGTTGTCCCTAAGCTTTTGAGTTCAGGGCTGACAATACCACTTGAGTTATAGCTACACTTTCAGCATTGTGGTAGTTAATTGGAGATAGGAATCTGACAGACTTTCCTGCCTGGGCTAACTTTGTACCAAGCTCTTCAGATCTCAGCAGCTTAAGTAGCTAAAATTGTAGGTGTGAGCCTCTGGCATCTGGCTTGAGAGAAACATTTGATTGTGTCAGTGAATGCTTGGTTCTTATAGGAGAGAACTTTATATTATTATATGCATAAAGTATGTACAGCTTCTTAAAACTAAAAATAAAATAAAATAAAATTACTTACCTAAAACTAAAATATCTTTAAACATCATGGATCTCTTTGTAGCTCCAAGCAGTAAGTGCTCCCCTGCATGAGCTCGCAACAGGGCCACCTGGATTTAAAAAAAAATTCTAAGATTAGCAATTAAATATAAAATATACTAAATAAAAGACAGCACAATATAAGTCTTATTAACTCACAGTGTGTTTAAAGCCTGGAATTTTTGTTCTAACAAGCTATAATACTTACAGGCCCCTACTATCAGTAGTCGTCTAGTTTTCAAGCTCAGAATGTCAATAGAGTGCCCTTTTCAAAATTTCTAAAATTACCTAACAAATGAGCATAGTGGAAGCAGGGAGAGAAAAGTAGATTCATTAACTGTTTTAGGAGAGAAATTGAATCAGACAGACAGAATTCAACTCCCAGTGTGGAGAGTTGAACTAGGATGCTGGAGACTCATTTACTTCCATCCGTAAAATGGAAGTCAACATGAGAGAAAAATATCTGAGTGTACTCATGAAGACTAAATGATTATACATATATATAATTATACATATATAATCTCCTGCATATCATAAACAGCATAAACAAAAGCAAAACAAGGTCTTGAAACTGGCAAAGAATAGAGGTCTGGGTTTTGCCATTTCCTAAGCAAGCCTTGGCCTCTGCACTAAACTCTCAACTCAGCTTCATTCATTCATCCGTTTTGCATGGAGCACCTCTGCTAGGAAGAATGCCACATGTAATGCTTCTCTGCACTCTTCACTGTTTTAGTAAATGGCTCCATCACCTAAAGTATTTGATCAAGAGGCTGTTGAGTACTTAAGTTGAATGAAAATAGAACAATGAAGCTGTTGAGATTGGTTTGGAAAGGGGGAGGAAGAGTGAGAGAAATAGGTGAGTCTAACTGAGGCATATCATATATATATATATATATATATATATGCATATAAATGTGGAAATGTCAAAATGAAACTTCTTGTATGACTAAATTGATGCTAAATATGGGTGGAGAGGCAGGGAAGTCTACTTTGAGTCTTCTCTAACTATACAGCAAATCCTAATGTTATATCTCAAAATAACAGCTGAATCAATCTAGTGCTTTCCACTTCCATTGCTACCACCCTGGGCCAAGCCCTTACCATTGACCTCCTGGACCACCCCAACACCCTTAGTTGGTATTCTTGCTTTCCTTCTGGTCCCTTCATTCTAAATCTTTCTGGACCAAGCTTCCTAGGTGACATTTTTAAATCCTAATCACTTACTATCACCCCTCTGCTAAATTCATCTTTTAATGGTTTCAAATTGTTCTTAGCACACAATCCAAACTCTTCAACCATGGTCCTCCAAGGTGGTAGGAAGTGTCAGTAGTTTTCACCCCAAATTTCTGGCTTTATTTTTTAACACCTTTTGTTCACATGGCTGCTGTCTGACTCAGAACCCCTAAAGATACTGTTTCTGTACTGGGCATGCTTTCTCCTTGAATCTTGGTGCACTTGGCCCCTTGTCATTTGGGATTATCTTCTCTGAGCCCCACTGTAAAGAATCTCTGCCCATACCAGATACAGTCATTTTCTAACAACTCATCTCATTCCACGTTATAGATTTTTATAGAACTTATCCCCACCTAGAATTAACTTACTCATAATTCGTATGTTATCTCTCTCTCAAATAGGTCACAAACTTTATAAGCCTAGTGAGGTAATCTGTATGTTTATTGCAAAATGCCATAATTCCTAAAACTAAAAACAATATTCTCCTAAGAAGTACTTATTTGATAAACTTATAGAATGAAGTTAATTGATCCAGGATGCCTGTTTAGAAATTGCAAAATGGAGATCATGCCTATCCCACAGAACCCCTGAAAGAATGAAATAATGTAATTGATACTGTATCTGAAAACTAATTCCCCAGTGCCTAGCCCATAATAATAATTCACTAATCCATGGCCATTAGGGTTATGCTATTAAAATATCAGTCAACAAACCAAAACTATTTCACTGGTCCCTGGATTTTATTTCCCAATATTTAAACCATTATATTCATACATAAGCCAGCAACTTTTAAAGAAGAGTAAAAATAAAACTATAAAACTGATAATAACGTCATCTGACTGATGTTACTTGCAATGAGATTGCTAAATTTTAGCATTATTCATTCTGGTATAACTTTCTGAGCCAAGTTATCTTTATGGTATGTCAATAACTGTGACTCATTCCAGGAACCAGTTACAAGATATTAGAAAAATGATTTCAGCTTTCACAGTAGTTTTTTGAGTTTGTTTGTTTTGTTTTCGTGTTCCTGTCACCAGGTAAAATGCTTTCTTAGAAATGCAATTGCTAACTTCCTGTGATGATTTTAGTTCTGGAGACACAATTGATTTCTCCTCCTTGATTTTTCACACAAGTATGACCTTTTTCTTTATTGTTTGGTTTGTTTTTGGTGTGTCAATGATCAAGAATATTGGTCAATGAGTATCTAACTATACAGTGGATACAGCTCATCTTCAGAAATTTTCTCAATGTAAGAGAAATGGAGATATTTAAATTAGTTTAGTCTACCAGAAGCTAAACATCCCTTAGCATAAAAAGACCAAAGCAAATCTGAAACAATCGAATCTTGATACAGTAAGTAGGAAATTCAAATTTCTAAATACTATTTTAATATCTTACTATACACATGAAAATTTAAAAATAAAAATATAAATACATGAATAAGAAAAAGATGACTATATCCAAATTTTCTATTTCCTTATAGATGTTTAGTCAGTTCTTCAGAAATTTGTTTTGTTACATTTAAGTTTTATACAATAAATGTTACAATAAAATTCATAGCATGAAAGACCAAACTTAAATGTTAATTACATAAAATGTCCACAAAAAAGGCATATCTAAGAGTAGCCACACATTTCTAAGGGATTTATATGAAAATCTTCAGGAAACTAAAAACACCATAGCACACAATTTACCTCCCAGATATTTATCTTTTTAATATCTCAGGAGCTTTTTAAACTCCAAGAGTGCAGTATAGTTTGGTCAACTCATATTCAAACGGTAATTTACTATTTCCTAACAACACAAGTAAAAACGGTTGTGCCTCTTGGTACAATAAGAAAATGAAAGGTAAGAAAAACTACTCCTTCTTTAATAATTTATACATTGTCTAATATGGAAAATGTATTAACATATGATTGAAATACCACAGAGTTTTACAAAAAGTCCAGGCATAATTTCTTGAACTTGTACCTGGTCATCCAGTGGCAGCTCACAGAAAGCAGGAATGTATTTAGCCCACTCCACCAAGACCAAAAGCTGCTGCTTCATTGATTCACAGACATCACCGACACTTGCAATTTTCTTGACATTTATGTCAGTGCTTGCCCCAGGGCTTGAAGCTGAGATCTAGCATTAAACAGAACACTATATTAATTTGTCATTTGAAATAACAGATGGCCTATAGTCCCCATTAATGCTTTGCCTGTGTTAAGTAATCACTATGAAAGCAGGCACTATCATTGTCTTGGCTTCCTGAAATACATTAAACATGTTTATGTGGAGAAATAAGATTTTATTTACAGGTAACATTGAACACATTCTTATGTAGCAGAAGAAGAAGCTTATTTTAAAATTCAAACCTCAGAAGTTACCCTGACTTTTGGGGCAGTTTCCAAAGGCGATGTTGCCACACAGGTAGTATCCATATGAACTTGAACTAGGCTGGATGGTTTTATGATTCATTTTTTAAATGTGATTTCTTTTAAGGAAGTTCACTTTCAACTTGTTTATGTTCATGAAAAAAATTATCCAGTAAATTAAACTAGGGAATTAAACTTACCAAACTGGTAGGGGGAGGGAAGCTTTAGATAAGACTAGAACTATTTATGACGTTGCATTTAATGGAAACCCATCAAAATAAGATTAGGAAATCAACCCTTGACCCAGTAATGTTGAGGAGCTTAAGCTATCATGATAAAAGTTCTGAACCTGATATAATTTTGAACTCTAAAAATACAAGTGGTGTTTAAAATCCTGTCTGCTACAAAAAAAAAAAAAATCACTGCCTATTGGAAGTTTCTGTGAATGTAATATTTAAACATGAGTGCTTGGTGTGTCTATGTGCCTGTGTCATGATGTGGACCTAGACATTTCCTCACTGCTCTCCCTAAAGCCACTCTTAAAATGCTTTATTGGACCATCAAGTAATCTTCAAGTAATGATGTTGATAATGGGGATGTTAACCTCATCATATTACTCTTGTGTTATCAATAACGAAAGTAGTATCACTGACTCTTTGCAGGTCTTGATAACCACTTAACTATTTCATAATTTGCTTATACTAGAAAAAAATCATAAACATTTCCAATAGAGTGAAGCTAAAATAACTTTCCTTCAAATGATTTTTATTGGAATATTAAAATATTTGTTTTTATTTATAAAACTAATGGCTTATTTTTTCAAGTTTCCATCTGAAAGCCTCACTTAGAATCACAAACTTAGAATCATAAATCTTTTTTTCTACTGTCTTTTAAGTTGTGGCTTCTCATTGAAATGCATGTTTCCAAAGCAGCCAGCAAGGTGATGTCCTGGGTTTGAAAGTCATTTTCCAGGAAAGAAACTCCGATGGCATACTCAACCAAACTCCACAAAAGTTACAGCAGCAGATTTGATGGATTCAGTCACAATAAATGAAAGATTGTCCCCAGAGTTGTGGGATGCAGTAAGCTTTTTGATCAAATTTATCAACTAATTTATTCTTTGATCATCTTATACTAAAACTCACTTAATTTTCCGTATAAAAATAAAGTACTGTCTGAGTAAAGTCAAAAGTAAACGAGCAGTCCTCCTAATACTTTCAAAGTAATGTTTTTACCTATGTAGATGCTGACTGTAATAAGCACACTTCAATACACATATACTATTGTTTCATAATGCCCATTAGAGTTCCATTAGAGCAAGCTGATGTGCAACTGGTACCTGGCGAGACCGAATTTCAGCTTGTGCCAAGGTGTTAATGGAGGGGATGTTGCTTCCATCATATGTGTTTCTCCTGGTGCTTATTCTGTCACGTTCATTTTGTACAGCTGAGAGAGGAAAATACAGTGTTCATAGGCCAGAGCTCTTGAATATACAACAGGATATAAAGTTGAAAAGTTAATTTTTAAAAACATGCTTAAAAGGTAAAGATGGGGTCTTTTAAAAAAAGGTTGGTGATGGAAATTAAGCTGTAGATCTTCTCATTCTGTACTATTTTCTGAAGTAGCAATAGCCAAGTTTGTCACAGAGAACAGAAAATATGGCTGTCCACAACTCTATACATGACTATTAGGTCATTTTGTGTGTGTGTGTGTGTGTGTGTGTGTGCGTGTGTGTGTGTACGTATTGGTGGTGGTGGTCATGGGGCCAGAGGCTAGGTGTTGTCCCTGAGCTTTTTGCTCAAAGCCAGCATTCTACCACTTTGCATCACAGCTCCATTCCTGGTTTTTATATGGTCATTTGGAGATGATTGGACTTTCTTGCCAGGGCTGGCTTTGAACCATGATCCTCAGATCTCAGCCATGCCTAAGTAGGTAGGATTACTGGCATAGCTACCAGTGCCTGGTCATGATATATTTTTAATAAGAGGGTTTTCTATTCTCAGAGAGTTAATAAAACTATATATACATGATAACTACAGGAAGATTATCAACTCGGAATGATCAATTCAAAGATAGGATTCACTATCAGAAGATATGAGTCAAGGGTTTTGAAATTAGTTTTCATTTTCCTATGATACATTATTAAAGAAGAAAGTAAATTTATTTCAGCTAAGATGGTTTTAAAGGGTTGGAGGCATGGCTCAGTGGTATTGAGACAGCCTAGCAAGACTAAGGCCCTGCATTCAAACTCCCAGTTACTTCCTGCTTTTTCTCAGTGGTTTATTGGAGATAAGAGTCTCACAGACTTTCCTGCCTAGGCTGGGTTTGAATTGTGATCCTCAGATTTCACACTCCTGAGTAGCTAGGATTACAGCAAGAGCCACTGGCACCCTGCTATATTACCTTCTTTTAAGAGTAGCAACTTGGGGCTGGGAAGGTGGCTCAATGGTAGAGCGCTTGCCTTGCATGCATGAGGCCCTGGGTTCGATTCCTCAGCACCACATAAGCAAAAAGAAAAAAGCTGGAAGTGGCGCTGTGGCTTAAGTGGTAGAGCGCTAGCCTTGAGCTGAAGAGCTGAGGGACAGTGCCCAGGCCCAGAGTTCAGGCCCCACGACCGGACCCAAAAAAAAAAAAAAAAAAGAGTAGCAACCTGAACTAAACTAATGGATTTCTTCACAATGGAACACACTGAGAGGTAATAAGAAAATCTAGCTGGGTTGATATGATCTACACTTTTAAAACAGTGATTTGACTTAATTTCATTTATCATATACTTGAAAAAAGTATTTCTTTGCATATCTACACAGGTATTCAGCCAAACTAATAGTCATAAAATCTTTTATCTACCTGCCAATGTGTGTGAACGTTACCATATCAGAATGTGCAAGAATATAACCCAATTATACTTAAAATAGACAAAATAAAATTTGCATACACTAACACAGCATATCTAATTGTCTCTTTCCTCCAATGTACCTCTCAGGTAGGTGAGCGTGGGGATCTTGTGCATTATGTTCTCTACTGAAGCCTCAGCATCTAGAATAGTGCTTGGGAAGTAGCAGTGTTCCATAAATTTTTTTTAAACAGATAAATCCTTAAAAAGTAAAATGTCCATCAATAGCCTAAGAATAAATAAAGATACTCAATTTTTACTAAGAATAAAAAATATATTTGAGGCTGGAAAGGTGGCTCAGTGGTAGAGTGCTTGCCTTACATGCATGAGGCCTGGATTTGATTCCTCAGCGCCATATAAGCAGAAGAAAGCAGGAAGTGGTAGAGCGCTAGCCTTGAGCTGAAGAGCTGGGGGTCAGCGCCCAGGCCCAGAGTTCAGGCCCATGACCAACAACAACAACAAAAAAAGTGTTTAAAATGCATAATTTCATTCTACTCATAGACTAACATTTATCTTTTGAACAGATACTGGAATGCTACTTCTGCCAGCCATAGTACACAGCCTTAGAGAGTATAATGTCAATAATCTAACCAGAGAAACAGTGGCTCTGTCACTAGCTAGTGGATATCCTTGTGCTAAATTCTTTAACTTAAGGAACAGATGCATCTTTAATAAATTAAGGAAAATCAGAGCACATTGAAAGGGGTTATTGTGACATGAGAATAGCTGTACATGCTTATCATTTTCCATCAACAATATTAGTTATCATCATCATCATTATCACCAGAATTATTATTACCTTCTTTTTTCATTCCTGCTCTGAAACACTTTCTTAATCTACAATATCTACACTGATTCCTCTTGTCCTTGTCAACAACACATTGCCGACTGAACCTGTAACATCAAACAAAGTTGTGTTACTAAAGTATCATTTATCACAAAAGAAAAAAACAACAATAGTGGACTTCAAGTAAGTGTAGTCAAATCTGGTTCACAATGAAGAAGACATGAGGACAATTAGTTAGAACACTTCTAGTCTTATGAAGAGGATGTGCATGCAAATGTAACCTTACCTCTCACATACTTTTTGTAATAAAATAAAACTGAATGACTGCCTCACTTTGGACAGTGAACATGATCATTTCTGTCATGAGTCATGAACGTCAAGCCTACTTTTAAAATGTTTGGCATCTAAATTCCAGTTGTTTATTGCTGAGTGATTTCAATATGGTGGAGAATATATCAGAATTACAATCACCTATACTTTCATATTTTTTCTCTTTTTACAAAAATAATCCTAGTAGTTTAAAATAAATTTGGACTCTACTGAAATTCACTCCAAAGAAAAAATGCACTCCAGAGACTCCTTAAGAACAGCATTGACAATGTAGTTTCTACAAAATCATATTTTACTTCACACTGTTAAGAATCGCTGTTATTTGGACAAAACAAATAGCAGAAAAACAGACAATAAAGGTGTTGTGATGATGGAGAAAATTTGGAATTATTAAACATTGCTGATTAGAATATTAAATGTTGTTGCTGCTTTGAAAGTTTGGCAGTTGCTCAAAAAGCTAAACACAGAGCTATCAACTAAAGCAGCAACTGCATGCATGGATATATACCAATCGAAATGAAAACATGTTTACTCAAACATTATTCATGGTAGTCACAAAGTATAATAATCATCATATAAATGTAGTATAGCCACATGTGGAAAATTAATATTTGTCAATAAACTAAAAGGAAGTACTGGTTCAGGCTATAATATGAAATACTTCTAAATGAAAGAAGTGCATTTATATAAGGGACTATCCAATAAAAAATAGAAAGTGAATTAGTAGTATCCTTACATTGTTTGAGGGAGAGCTTGGGGAATTGGATAGTGCATTCAAGTTTCCTTATAGGATGGCAAAAAATGGTCTAATTTGACATTTGGCAACTTTGAATATGCTAATATATTGAATTATATACTTTAAAAAAAGAGTAGTATCTTTCAGGGTAGGTCTAGGCCAATTCTCAGATTAACCACTCATTCTTAAGTATAACTTGGGGATGTTAAGTAACATTAATCTACAATGACAAATGAAAGAAATAATCTTGACTTAAATAATGTTGTGTGAATGTTCTTTAGAGTTTAAGGTACAGTATTAATCCCATAATAAACAAGAATATTGTTTCAAAAATTTCATCCATAAATACTGATATGCCTTGATTACTTGTAATTGATTATTAAATAATAAAACAGAAATAGTTTCCTTTGTGATCTATTTGAAAAAGCTTTAAAATATATGTGGATGAACACTTGAAACTAAATTTCAGATAAGCTGAGCTAGAATCAAGATAAGCTTTCAGAGTGAGAAAAAACTACCACAATGTTCATTTTGAGTGCGAACTGAGAAAACTCAGCAGAGGGGATGAGATGAACAAGAATCACAAGAAGAGCATATCCAATTGCCATTAAGTAAACTAATAACAAAAGTTGAATCAACACATGATTAATACCTCCAGCATACAAGATACAACTGTAGGGATCAAACAAATGAGATGCTTCCTGTTTCTTCCATTCAGGGAAATTACAGTCTACCAGAGTACACATACAAACTTATAATTAACCATTACAAGAAGCATCATGTGAGAAGTATTGAAATAGCCATAAAAATGTGCCATTATACTGAAGGAACAGTGAGAGTGAAAATAGAATTTAGAATTTATAGAGTCTGGTAAAACCTGAGCTTAAATAAATACACTAACACTTTTGCAAGCGGAAAGTCATAACATTTAATACAAAATATATATATATATAAAGGCTTGGTTGGCCTCAGCCCACATGATGGGAAAGTAGAAGAAGCTGTACCTGTTGTAAGGATACTTATTAACCTTCTAAAGGCTGCTCTGGGAGTAACTTGTGCCTCCTTTTTACATAGAAGAAAGGCAGAAATCTCAAAAGCCTTTCAATTGGTATTTTCAGCTTCTTCTAAGTTGCTGGATTTCATTGTTTGAACCACAACTACTCATGTATGTGTATTTCACTTTTTAACAAATCCTATCACTCCAAAAGAATATGTTCTTTTCTCTTTATTTTACTGTTTTAATTTTAAGAGCATTCAATATTCAAGATGATCATGGATATAGCAGTTTTGCAAAAGAAAAACAATCCATTTCTTGATGATGAGAGTTTTTATGTATATACATAGAGAATCTACCTATATATTCTACTCTGCTAATCAACTTTTTAAAGTGGGTGATTAACATTTCCATTAATCAACATCAAACTCTCCTTGAAAATCTACTCAAGAACACTAGGTAGATATTAAGAGAGTTATGTATTAACTTTTATTATACCTTGAGAAATCAAATAGCACCATGTTGTAAGAGATTTTCTTCCCAATGTCCAACCTGTTCTTAAGTCAATGTAACAGAACTGAGGGTATAGCTCAGAGATAGAATTCTTGCCTAGTATGCTGAAGAAGGCAGGTAAAATCTTGAGTTCTGCAGAAAGCAATAATGCTAACAAGACTACCATTGATGGATAAAATATATAAATTTTTTTCTGCTTTAATCATATCCAACCTATTCATATTCTTCATTCAACAACTGTCATATCAATCAGGGTATAATAACTAAACCTAAACTAAGTTATGATGTTGACTAGATTAAAAAAAATTAAAGACTACTCCAAAGGTGTGATATACAGTATTAAATAAGATTGAGACAAAACATTTACATTTCATGGCAACAAAAATTAGCATAAGAAATACAATTTAGCCACTTAGATATAGTTTTTTAAGATTTTTAGTGGTGTATGGACATGTGATAAAACAATAAACAGAAGAAGAAGATCGACACCACGTCTGGAAGATGAGGGAGGAAGAAATATTGTCAAGGGAGGTGTCCAATCGAAGATTCAACTGTATTGTTCTAAACTGGGCGGTAGGTATGTGAATTTTTATAATTATAAAATATTTCATAAAAAAAAAGAATCACCCAGCCGGGCACCGGTGGCTCACGCCTATAAACCTAGCTACTCAGGAGGCTGAGATCTGAGGTTCGTGGTTCAAAGCCTATCTGGGCAAGAAACTCCATGAGACTCTTATCTCCAATAAACCACTAGAAAACTGGAAGTGGCATTGTGGCTCAAGCAGCAGAGAGCTTGCCTTGAGCTGAAGAGTTCAAGGACAGTGCCCAAACCCAGAGTTCAAGCCCCACGACCAAAAAAAAAAAAAAGAACCACCTGTGTGAAGATGTCTCTTAATGTCCAAACTTACAGATTTACAAAAGCTCTAGGTTTTCTTCTCTTATTTCTTTTTTCTTATTTATTTTCTTTTGTCATATATTACTCTTTAATTCGATTTTGCTTTACTATATGTTCTTATGAGCAGGACATTTCAAAATGTGAGGCTGATTAGAAAGCATCTAAGACCATTGCACCATTGGAAAAATGAAGTTTCAGAAAAGTTTCTGTACATGGTTTGTACATGGGAAATACTGCTGTAAAAATCTCTGACTCTTCTTCTGGTGGACTCTGTCTGAACAGTTTAATTTCTATCACTCTTTAAATTGAATTTTTTAGAACAGTTTTAGATTTTAAATTGCTATCTTGTTCATGAGAAGTGAGTGCATTTTTGGTTTTGGGGGGTTTTTTTGTTTTGTTTTCTTGTCAGTCGTGGGACTTGAACTCTGGGCTTGGGTGCTGTCCCTGCGCTCTTCAGCTCAAGGCAAACCCTCTACCGCTTGAGCCACAGTGCCACTAGTGAGTGCATTTTTTATGTTTACTTTCAAGGGTATCTTTGGAGCTTTCCCTTGGATTTCCAGTTAAATCAGTTAGGCTGTCTCACACTGTAGATGCCAGTCCTGTCTCAGGAAGGATAGCATTTCTAGTACTCACAGTAGTGAAGAAAATGAATAAGAGGAGGAGGAGGGGCAGGGGGAGGAAGTAGAAGAAGAAAAGGAAGAGAAGGAAGACAAAGAAGAGGAAGAGAAGGAAGAGGAATAGGAAGGAGGAGGAGAAGGACAAAGAAGAAGAACAACAAGACAAGAAGCTGTATTATTTTTCTAATTGAACGAAGAGAACGATTAATAACAGTTGCACCTCTTCTTCCAAAACCCCAGTCTAAATTGTGAAGCCACAGGAAATGCTGTGGTACTCAAGAAGCACTTACATGTTAGCTCCTTAATCTCCTAACTTGACTCCCAGAATCCATTTTAAATGGTACTTGATCCCCTTCCTCCATCCCATGTGTGCTTATCTCGCTAGGTGGACGTGTTTTGCTGTTGCTGTTGTTTTGTTTAGCTCAGGCTATGGTGGCCTTGTGCGCAGTTACTATTGAACCAGTGAGGATGAATTGCTACCTTTAGCTTAAGAGCCATCTCCTTTGCCCTTCTGAAGTTGTTCCCTCACTAGTGAGAGCTTCCCCAAATTTCCAATCTATGGTTATTTAGAGCAATGACTGTGCGCTGGGCATTGTTCTCTTATTACTTGTATGACATGTTCGAAGAGCTCTGTAGAGAACTTTCTGAAAGGAATATCCCAGGTACCTGCAGGAGTAAACGTGGCTCTTGCGTATGCTGCGTCTGAAGAAGCCTTTGCACCCATCGCAGCTTGACGCCCCGTAGTGTTTGCCCGTCGCTCTGTCCCCACAGATCGCACATAGACAGTTGACGCCATTGTCTGTAGTGTTCATACTTGTTGTCTCTGGGGCAGAACTATCTGTCAGAGAGAAAATGAAGAACACAGTTACCACTGACTATTCTTTATCCCATTGTTCTAGTCATTTTTCATAGGCCCCAAAGAGTGCATCCATCCCTTGGTGTGCTTTTTTTAATTTATTTTTTTATTAATATTACAATGTGCAGAGGGGATACAGCCACACACTTTGGGTCATGAGTACCTGGCTTTCTGGACAGTATCACACCTTCTTGTGACTCACCACATCAGTCCTTTTTAATCATCATTTTCATTCCAAGTTCCTTTATGGTCACTCTGACCAATAAACTTTAGGATACCATAGCAGTCATTCACCAAGTCACTTCCCTACAGGAGAGATTGCAGTGTCTCAACACTAAAAAGTGTATGTGTTGCTGCGTGCTGGTGGCTCATGCCTGTAATCCTAGCTACTCTGGAGGCTGAGATCTGAGGATCACAGTTCAAAGCCAGCTCTGGGCAGCAAAGTGTGTGAAACTCTTACCTCCAATAAACCACTCAGAAAAAACTGGAAGTGGTGCTGGAACTTAAGTGGTAGAGTGCTAACCTTGAGCAAAAGAAGCTCAGGGACAGCGTCCAGGCCCTGAATATTAGAGTAAAATTATTTAAAAGCTTTACTTTGAGGTCTATCAAAAATTAATGTATCATTAATAAAATCATGAACTAGTATATCTAAAACAGAATTTTCATTTCTTTTCCTACAGAACTTGCTTTTTCCCTGTCTTTTGTTGTATCCACCAATAGCTCCATCCAGATCCAGGAACTTGGCAGTGTTCCTTGAATTCTCCCCATCCATCATCTTTCACACATAAACCATTTTTAAGACCATATCTACAACGCATGAGCTTGAGCCTTTCAGCATGATCACCCTTACACAATCCACCACCACCCTCCCCATGGACTATTGCAATGTCTTCCTATCTACTTTCACCCTTGCTCCCTTACAATTCATTTATTACCCCAGAGCCAACCAAGTGGTCTTAGTTTAAAAAGTTCATGACACCCTTCTGAATCACAGTAAGCATGACTTGTCATCAGAAACAGGAAAAACAAAGCAAAACAAAACTGTAAAGCCCTGTATCATGAAGTCCCCCAAGCCTCACCAGCACCACCTCTGATCCCAGGATCGGTACCATTTGTCCTGCTGTTCTCTACTTCCCAGCCAGGGTGTCTTTTTCATTTCCTCAAGGCCTATTTTCCTTTTGAAATTTTTACACTTCCTGGAAGGAAAGACCTTCTTCAGCTTTTTCTTTGAGCTAGCCATGAAGTTTCCATTCAAATTTCATATTGTGTACTAAACTTCCTCTGAGAACACAACTAAGAGTTACTGCCCATCTGCTTGTCAACTGGAACCTAGATCTCTGCTTATTGTTATTGTTGCTGTTGTTCTTTTAAACAACAATGTCTGCCTAAGATTACATTGGCTATAGGTATGCTTATTTGTTATCTGCATAAAATATAAACTTCATAATGTCGGAGAATGTATTTGTCTTATTCACTCCAGTTTCCTAGGTCTTAGCCATAATGAAGTGGACAACTAAAATATACTTCCGGACAAAATGTCTTTCAAAGTAAAATTTAATATTTTTTGTAATTAACTCCAAATATGTATGTATGTACTAAAAATACTAAGGTAGTATATTAAAATTTAATTTAAAATCAACTTTACAAATAATATAGACATAATGACAACTTAGAACCCTAATACAACAAAATAATAAAAATTAAAACTTGCCTCATTCCAATTACCTTCCAAATATGTTTCTGAACAGACAATTATTTTCAGCTATTATTTCGTAAAGCTGGAAAAAACTTTAATGAGAATATTTTAAGGTCAATCATGTGACATTATAGAATTTAAATGCCAAGAAGTGATCTTCTGTAACATTAACAAACAAATATTAATATGGAAATTAAAAGTGTTTGAAATTCATTTTGTTCTGGGGGTTATATGCAAATTCAATTTTCCTACAAGTTTAATGTGACACATAAGAGTGACAATGTTACTTAAAAGGTAATAAATTAGATAACATGTTGTATTTAGCCATACAAGTTAGTTGTTTTATTATACATTGGTAAATATGGTAAATATTTTGATACAACCTAAGATTTAGGAACTAGAGTCCTTTGCAAAAGTTATATCTCTTCTGAGATAAATACTCTTGTAATTATAAGTAACCAAAATAGTGACTTCCTTAACATTTCAAGTTAGACTCACTTTAATTCTGTTTGTGTTAGAAATTATCTTTTGACACTTTAAAAATATCTCTCCACTAATAAGTTATTATTTAGTTGAAGTATGATCAGGTCACTCATACACATTTCATAACATAGTAGAATAGTAGGGTATTATTTGTGTAAGATGCTTTCATGATCCTGAACACACATACACTTTTCCAAAGTATACATAACTTCAGGACTAACAATTACAAGCTATCTTGGATAAAACTTGGGAAAAAAATCAAATTCTAAGTCAACAGTAAACCAAATTACATAAAAATACAAACTGTAAACAATTCATGTCTGATGTAAAGTTAAAATGTTACAGTGAGTAAATGCCAAGGGTTTTATGTGGCTAAACATTAGACTGTCAAGTGAAGTTATACTATGAACCTCTATTTCTTTCTATATCTATGTTCAATGGAGAAAGTTCATAGTAATTTTCAACACAGTGTCTCACCAGCAGCAATTGAAAATTGGAATAATGAGAAGGAGGCAATCAGTGAAATGCCTACTATTTTATGGAAACTTGGCTCCATGAGTGATTTTAAATAAAGCATAGAAAGTACACTCTCACCGCCAATCTGCCAATATCACTTACCACTGTGATTTACAGCTGGTAAAAATAATGCTGAAATGGTTCTATCTGGCCCATGACAGAATTCTGAGGTTACTTTATCACACAGATCACACAGAAAGAGGCTCTTCTACTTCTAACACAAAATAGCGTTATTAACTTAAAATCTATATGAAATGCAAAAGCTCAGATCTGTGGCCATTGGAAAACAAGCCTTGAATTCTCTAGCAATAACACACCAAGCAACCTCCCTGGGAAGCTCAGTTTTACTTCAATGGTACTTACTTTAAAACATATCTAACAAGCAGATGAGAACTCACCGTTGGAATTATAGAGAATCTGCATCGTTTCAAACTCCAGAGTTGTATAAGTTGGGTCCAACACTTCACTATAATTGCCCATGTCCATGTCCAATACTGGTTCTGATACCCTCATCATTGATTGAGAGACACAAATTCAGAATGTGGTTGACGCTTTTGCTTTCAATCTGCGAGTGATAATTCAGAGCTAACTGTAACTGAGTGACTTAAGTTGGGCAGAGGGAGGGGCTGTAAAACTGTAACCTCCTTGGGCAGGGCATATTCTGTTCATTTCTTCTTTTATGGCAAGAAGGGCAATTCCTTGCAATAATGTCGCAATGCTTTGTACAACTGCCTTATCTGAAGTGCTTAGTGGACTAACATGATTTCCTACATTGATTTCCAGTAGACAATAAATTATGTCAATCAGAGAAAGATTAAGGAGAGAACAGAGAAATTGCTGAGATTTTTGAGCTATGATTCCAATTGGAGGGTTAGCCCAGAGAACAGGAAACAACACACATACCATGTGTCTTGATAAGTGAAACTTACTTCGCTGTGACAATTTGAAACATCAGACTATAAGTTACCTTTTACCACCATAGATCACTTAGCAATTTCAGGTTTTCTTACATGTACTATAAAATTAACTGTGTTTGTTTTGGAGTAAAACAAATTCACAATTGGTAAAGACAGGAATTTATGTTATGCTACAGTAGCATCCTGGAAGAATGCCAATACAACTTGTAAAATATTCTCTATAGCTATTCATTTATGAGTCTATATCCTCTCCATATTTGTGAACTTCTCATAGGCAAAACCAGATGAGCTGCTCTTAAATTGTAGGTATTCAAGTAGTGATTGCCATATAAATAAGGTTCATTTCTTTAGACTTATACTCTAGGCATTAGCTTGAAGCAAAATTATTCCTAATGGGCAGCCCTGTATATTCTTACCATCAACCTTCAGCTACATAATGTAGTCCATCTCTTATATGTAATCATGTTGAAACAATGGACTTTGGAGAATATTTAGATTATATTCAATGAGTATATTTTATGTCTGAAACTACAGTTATTGATTTTATTTTCCAAGAAAGAATTACAGTTCCATCTACATTATAAATTCAGAATTTTATTTCTGTTTGTTGAAGTTGATAGTAATCTTTCTTAATCAGTTTTTGTGTATGTATGAGGCAAGTTCTGGGGCTTATCTCAGGGCCTTACATCCTTGCTTGGCTTCTTTGCTCACAGCAGGTGCTCTACCACTTGAGCCACACCTTCAGTCAGACATTTTGCTGGTTAGAAATAGAGTCAGCCATTTCTGTTTGCCTGAGGTTGGCTTCAAACCTCTTTTTCTATTCTCAGTCTCCTGAATAACTAAATTAACTTTATGAATACTCTTAGATACTGTTCAAGTTTGCATCCCAAAAGGCCAATCTGTTAAAACAAATTCAAAATCCATGAAGAATCATAAACAGTAGAATCATATTAACAGCCATACCAGAGATCACTGGAGTCATCATCTTTACTTACATTAGTTATACTCTTACTTGTGTTATTAATACTGTTTTGAGATAAAGTTTAACTAGATGTCCCAAACTGGACTTGAACTTACAACCCTCCTGCCTCCTCTTCTCATTATGCTGGGATTAGAGGCATGTCTCACCATGCCTGGCTATTTTTAAACAAATTTTAGGAACATGTTTTCTTTGATGAAGGCTAAGCATATATTATCCAGAGAAATGGCAGCAAGCAAATACAATGATTTTCATCTGTGTGACGTGGTTCTCTTCTATGGCAAAATAACAAAGATGTGTTCGGTTCTTGTGAGAACCAAAGTGTGACATACATAGACCACAGTCTTGCTCATTTGTGGGGAAACCAACCAACCCCAGTGCACTGTCACTTTTGGAGTTAGGTCAAAAAAATAAGAAAAGAAAATTTTGAGAAAGAGTTTTTAAAAAATGAAAATGGTTACTGCTGAGGAGGCTAATAGTTCTACGATTCTATAGTACCCCTGGGAGACGTGACCATTACACCAGGATGTTCTGCTCGAAGACTAAAGGGGACACAGACACAGTCATCCCATCATCAACCTTTATGTTCTTCAAGGAGCTCTGGCATTTCATCTGAGCTATTTTTCACTGAAACTTGTTTCCCATCCATGTTATTGGTAATTTTTTTCTTCAAGTCACAGAGGAATAAGACTTTGAGATTTCCAAAAGCTACAGATGACCCAAAATGGCAGACACATCTCCTCAAGCAAAGTGCACACTCTCTACTTAATGATACTAAAATGCTGAAACGCCCACAGAATCCAGTCACCCTTAGTCTATCTAGCAAAGAAGGGTCTCTAGCTTTTTTCCACAGAGATTAGAAAGTACTGTAGAAGCTCACTTGTCTTTAATCCTAGCACTGGAAATTTTCTGACTCATGAACGTGGTCTATACATCTAATTGCTTATTAGGTTTCAGTAGCTAGAAGTCATATTGTTTTATTGTAGAATCAAGATTTTTTTGTTGAGTACTATTCCTTACTATTTTTCCTGTTGCTCTTTTACTGCAATGTTTCTTTATTTTTCAAAAATTCTCATGTACTGTCTTTGATCTCTACTATTTTTTCCAAAAAATATTGGAGAGATATATTATGCAAAGCCTTCTCAAATTTTACAGTTTTAAAAATAGCTCAGTCCCCTCACATGTAATCTCAGTTATAAGGAAGTAGAGATGAAGAGGATTGTGGTTTGAAGACAGCTAGAGCAAAAGGTGAATGAGAACATATTTAAACCAATAAGCCAGGCATGGTGTTACATCCCCATTATCCCAGCTACACAAAAGGCATAGGTAGGAAGATCTCATAGTCTGAGGCTGGCCTTGGCAGAAACATGAGACCCTTCCTCAAATATAACTAAAACAAGAAAAGACGTAGGAATGAGATTTAAGTGGTAGAGCACCTGCCTAATGAGTGAAAGACTTTGAGTTCAAACTCCAGGATTACCAATATATGTATATTTTAGTAAATCTGCTTTTATTTAATTTCAAAATACTTCCCTTGGTTGTTATGAAAGGTGATAAAACTAAAGTTCTTCCTAAACTCATTTTCTATCAGATTATATACTATTTAGCTACATTATGAAATAAAGTAACAACAATTCCAAAAGTAAGATAGGTTCACATATAAGTAACACTTGATAGGCATGCAAAGCTAGTGATATGTACTTACCTGGGAATAACAATTATGCGTCCCAAAAGACATTAAGAACTTGAGTGAATTCTAGGAATTATCTGAATGGAAATAGAATTTCTCTTGTATTGACCTTAACTTGAAATAATTTGTACTTATAAAATAACTTACAATCCTCTAATGAACAGTCCATATTCTCTGTTCCTAAAATCAAGTAGGCACTATTGAGAATTTTTTTTGTTGCTTTTTACAAAAAAAAAAGAGAGAGAGCTCAGTGCCAGTGGCTCACACATGTAATCCTAGCTACTCAGGAGGCTGGGGTCTGAGGATTGCAGTTTAAGCCAGCATAGGCAGAAAACTTTTAATTGGCAATAAGTCTCCAATTAACCAGGAAATATGGGAGAAGAAATGTCACTTAAGTGGTAGAGTGCTAGCCTTCAGCAGGAGCAAAATGTACACCCTAAGACACTCCCCAGCACATGAAGAAGAAAGGAAAAAAATGGAAGGAGAAGGAGAAAGAGAAGGAGAGGAAGAAGGAGAAAAAGGAAGGAGGAAGAGGGAGGAAGAGGAGGAGGAGGAGGAAGAGGAGGAAGAAGAAGAAGAAGAAGGAAAAGGAGGAGGAGGAGGAGGAGGAGGAAAGGAGGAAGGAAGGAAGCAAGGAAGGAAGGAAGGAAGGAAGGAGAAAAAAATCCAGATACAACTCCAATTATAATTAATTTTAAATTTTAAGTTAAACATCATAATCAAAATTAGTATTACACCTTGGTTTTCCTTTGTTTAATAGTGATGGTAGAATTTTCCTAATTCAGAAAACATATCTTAACCCAATTGAACAATATAAAATTAGAAAATTAAACTGTATAAACTTTAAATGCAAGAAACAGTTTATGTTTTCACATTATAACTCAGGTGTTTTCAGAAAAATGGCTAATGGTGATTAGTCAAAGAGCCTTTCATTACTGCTTCACAAAGTCATTTCTATGAGTAAATTATTAGGCTATGTTAGATTAAAAGCTAACACAATAGAGAAACAACATAAATTGTATAATTTTATGCTGAGATAAAAACAGAAACAATTGCGCATAAAAAAACAACTCAAACTGACATCACTTAGCCCCGTATGCCCCATATATACATATTATGTACTTTTTAAGTCTACTTCTAAAGTGTAATTGGGGGAAAATCATACCTTAACACATAGCACATAAAATAGTCATTTGGAATGAGTGTCACACACTTTCCAAAGTATAAATGCATAATCTTAATCTATAGCCAAACATATATTTATAACTGATAAACTATGACCTACCGAAAATCTCTCTTAACAGAGGCGAGTTCTCAGTATCTGTTCTGAAAGCTGAGCAACATATCAGTGTTTCATGTGATCTCATGTTTGTAGGCCACAATGTACTGTCCTATCCCCAGCCAGGTCAAATACTCCAAAGAAAATGGCACAACACTGTCAACTTCAAGTAGTGTGACTAGTAATCTTGAAGAGTGTTTTTCTCAAGGGCAATGGTTCTATGAACTGACATATGAAATGTGTGTCCAATTTCTATAGAAAAATCGAAGAAGAGATGAAAATACTAGCATGGTTAAAGACAACTGAGTTCTCTATTAACTTTAAGGTAACAGCAGACGCATTTGTATCTTATCTATAAGACTATTAGGCCTGTTAAGTTGTTCCCTGCTTTACATTTGATTTAATCATTCCTTCCGAGCGTGATTGAAAACAGAAAACAGGCTAATAAAAAAAAAATGAAGGTTATTTTTGTAAGAGAATTTTCATGAAAAAGGTTGGGCATCAATACCAATATACAAATATTTTCTTGGAAGGCAGATAATGAAGTTTACTTTCGTAAATTTATCCACCAAAAATACAACCGTAGATTTTTTTGTTTCTCATTTCACTTTGTGTAAATATAATGTAAGTACAAATAGAATCACCATAGTCAAATGAAGAATTGTAACAGGGCAAGTTCACCC